GCAGCGCAGCAGGTTGCCAAGAGCTGCTCTCCCGGCTCCTGCTCCCATTCCATCCCAGCCGCCCGCCTGAGCGGTTTTTAGGAGAGCAGTGGGTGAAGTGCCATTAACGGGAGCTCATTGCTGACATTTCCTGCCTTGTGCAAACCATCAGGGATGCAGGGAGCAGGCAGGCGGAAAGGGAACAGCTGCCCGCTCCAGCCGTGCCCGGCAACGCGGGGCTGGCTTGGATGAGAGCTGGAAAACCTTGTCACCACGGGGAGGTCCAGGACAGCCACATCCCCTGGACACAGGGTGCCAGGAACCCCATCTTGTACCACTCAGGCATCATGTTTTCCAGGCATTCAAACACAGGATGGCCAGAATCCATCCTTGGCGGCTGCGAGAGGTGCCCAAGCTGCCGTGGGATAAATCCGCTCTCCCAGGGCAGGCGGGGAGCCCGGTGACATCCCGTGCACCGCATCCCTGCCCCGGGATGTCGGGAAGGGATTTATGGTGCTGCAGGCTCGGTGGGTGCTGGGAATCCTCTGACGCCCACGCAGCATCCAGTTGGCTTGGGCACCTCCGCGGGGTGCAGGGAAGGAGCTGGAAAGGGGAAGGCTGGGCTTGTGGAAGAGGAAATGAGCACCGTATGAACTGGGGGAAGGGAGAAGGAACCTGCGTGGCCCCCGCAGCCACCGGTCGGGCAGCACGGGGGGCTGGAATTAAAAATTAACTGGTGTAGTCAGCAGTGCAGCTCTGCCCTGGGGGGGGGTAGCGATAAAACAAATAAAAAAATTTAAAAAGTAAATAAAAAATAGAATGAAAAAATTTTAAAAAAAGAAAGGAAAATAGCATAGTAAAAGAATAAAATAAAACGTAGAATAATAAAGGGTAAAAATAAAAGAAAAAAGGGTGAAAACTAAAAGATAAAAGGTAAAATAAAAGAGTGAAAGAGAAGAATAAAAGAATAAATATAAAATAAAAATAAAAAGTGCAAGAGTGAAAAAATAATAAATTAATGTAATAAATTAAAGATTATCATAATTATAATTATAATTATTAGAATTATTAGAATTCTTTATTATCATACAAAAAATAAAATTCAAACAAAATAAAAATCAAATTAAAAAAATCAATAACGAAGTAAATAAAAAAATCAAAAACCATTAAAAAAAAAATCGAGCAGACCATTTCCCTTCCTCTCCTAGGATGAAGACGCGGGAAGGATTTCCCAGCGCTCACCTGGGGGAGCGAACAGGGCAGAGCCCACCCCAGGCTGCAGCTCGGTCCGGGCAGTGCCGAACCTCGCGCTGGGGGGTCCGGACCCTGGGACAGGGCAGCATCGGGAGCCACAAACCACAGCAGCCGCGGCCACATCCTGCTCCCGCGACTCCCTGCGCCGAATCCTGAGGGAGCCGGGGGTCCCGCAGGGGTCTGGGGGTGCCTCATCACCCCCGGCTGTCGCAAGCAGGGTCTGACCCCCCAGTCAGACACCCCGCAGAGGGAATTCCCACGAGGAAACCAGCGATCCCCAAACCCGTGCCAGGGCAGGGAACCAGATCCCACGAGCCGCTGTCCGGAGGGGAGGGGGCCAGACACGGCCAAGGTCAGCGGCGGGGGCCAGGGCTGCGCTCGGGTTTCCCTCCCGGCCCAGCGCCACGTCCCAAAGCCACCGGTCTGGAAAGCTCCGCTCCAGGCGCTATGGCAGGGCGGCTTCCCACAGCACGCTCTCCCCAAACCAAGAGCCTCCCGAAATCCAGAGCCTGCCCGCGCTGGGTCAAGCTCCGGCAGGGAGTTGTGCCAAGGGATTTAAAAATCAGGCCCTGACACACGGGATAAAAAAAAAAAAAAAAAAAAAAAAAAAAGTCATCTTTCTTTCCTTGTTTATCCTCTTTTTCCATGACGGCTGAAGGGATTTTTGCTGGTTTTCCGGCTGCCGGGCGCTCCTCAACAGCTTCCCGCTGCCTTGGCGGCTCGGGGCACGCCGGTGCTCTCCCCTCGTCCCACCCCAACTCAGTCCCCACATCCCGCCCCATAAGGATCGGAGCGATGAGAACCACGCCGGGATTTTCTGGGAGGGAAATCCCGAGCCGAGGGACTGCCAGAGGAGCCCCCCGGACCGCAGCCAGGTGGGATGGTGGGATGGAGCCGGGGCTGGGAACAGAGCGGGGACAGGGACCACAGCACCGGGGCACCCTCTGCTCCTGTGGGGGAGGACGGATGTACCGGGTCCTGCTGCATGTCCGGGGGTCCCTGCGGGGGTCCCTGCGTGGTGGGGGCAGCCCTGCCCCCCGGCAGCACAGGGGGAGCACCTCAAATTTGGAGCACTGCCTGGGGTACCCTAAAGCATTGCTGAGGGCACCCCACAACATGGGATGCTCCTGGGGGTGTCCCCGAACCGCGGGGGACATCCCAGCACTCCCGAGAGAAGCCCCCAAAGCGCTGAGAACTACTGGGGGCACAAAAAGACATCCTGGACAGAACCACCAAAGCAAGGAGGATCCCAAAGCCACACTGGGGGAACTCACAAAGCAAGGCAACCACAAAGCCTTCCTGGAGGAAACCGCAAAAAGCAAGGGGGATCCCAAAAAGACCCTATGGAGAACCCTGATGGGGGGACACCCCAAAGCCATCCTGGGTGGGACACCCAAAGAAAGGCGACATGAAAGCCACCCTGGAGGGAACCCCCAAAGCAAAGAGGAACCTAAAACCACCCTGGAGGGAACCCCCAAAGTATATGCACTGCTGGGGGGACACCAAGCCATTCTGGCCAAGCCCCCATAGCAAGGGAAACACTCCAAAGACACCCGGTGGATGGCATCCCCAACAGAGACGTGTTGAGGGGACACCCCGCAGCATTCCTGGGGCAGAGGGGGGTCCCTCCCGGGGATGGCCCCCCCAACCCAAACCCCTCCCTGCCCCCGCGGGGGGCACTCACATGTCCTTGACGGGCAGGTTCCTGCCCTCCACGATGCGGATGGAGAGGGCGCTGCGCCGGGCCATGGCGGGCGGGCAGCGGAGCCAGACCGAGCCGAGGAGACCCGAGCGGAGCCCAAACGGCGCCGAGCGCGGCCTCGAACCTGCGGCTCCCGGCACAGCGCCCATGTGCGGGCCGGCGCCGCCGCCCCCCAATCAGAGTGCGGAGGCGGGGCGAGGGGCGTGGTCCGAAAGCCCGTCCGCGGCGGCCATTGGGCGGTTCTATCGGCTGTCAGCCAGGAGGCGTGGCCTAGGCGCGGTGGGCGGGGCCGGGTCCTCCCGCCCTGCCGGGGGTCCCGGGGGGTTCTCCCGGATCGGTGTCCCCGGTTCCTTTCGGTTCCTCCCGGTCCCGCTCGGCCCCCCTGGCGCCGGCCGCGGCTTCTGGGTTGGACCAGACCCACACTCGCCCCCCCCGAACCTGGGGGGCTGCAGCGTGCTCCGCGCTGCCCCGCACCCCAAAACCCCGACGTTTTCTTGCTCTTTTACCTTTTTTACCCTTTTTTGCAGCACCGCCGAGATACCGGTGGCATTTCTGGGGGATCTTGGTGTCCTAAATACCAGCGGAGAGAGGGGGAACTCCCCCCCCCCTCCCGCAAGACCCACCTGGGCTCGAGGAGTCGCCCCGCACCCAAAGCTGGGGCTCAGGGCTGTGCCAGCCAAGCTGGTCCTTGGCATTTGCGCCGTGGGGACACTACGGGGACACTCTGGGAACACGCCGGGAACGCGCTGCCCTGTTCCTACAGCGCTGCCCCTCTCCCTCCCCCGCACAGGGGGACAGCAGGGGGACAAGGTGCGGTCCCCTGTCACCAACCCCAGTGGCAGCTCCAGCCCCGCGCGCGGTCGGGGCCACGTGTCCCACCCCCAGAGCGCCCGTGACAGGTGACACTCCCCCCTCCCAAACCACTCGAAGCCGCTTTGCAGCTGAAACCGTTGTTTTATTTCGGAGGACGGGGTGTGGGTCGGAGGGGACCCGCGTTTGCCGGATGGAACCGTCCTTCGGCTGCACCCACGCTGGTTCTCCGCAGGAGTTAATCGCTGGATTTGCTTGATTTCCCTTGGCTGGGCTCCACGGGGGCGGCTCCGGCAGCGGAGGGGGCAGGTTGCTAACACCCCTCCCAGGCAGGACAAGGACAGCCTGTAAGGGCGCTGTGACCGGGGCTGGGTGTGAATGTGATGCTGCCCTTTGCACGGCGCCTACGGGGGAAAACGGTGGGTTTAACACACGGATGTGATGTATGCAGGTGTGTGCACACCTGCCCTGGCTCCACGCAAAGCGGCACAGCCACCCTGCGGTGAGCTCTGTCCTGCTTGTCCCCAGCACCGGCGGGGTCTCATCCAGACCAGGCTCCAGGATCAGGGCACCCACATCCCCCACATCAGTATCAGGGGCCCACATCCTGGTGCGGGATCAGGAATGAGGGATCAGGTCTCTCTCAGTCTCTGGTAGAGCATCAGCTTCCCCTAGCTCACTCCCCACCAGTGCAGGATCAGCCCCCACATCCCCTAGAGAGAGATCAGGGATTCACTCCCCAGTGCAGGATCAGTCCCCACAACACCTGGAGCAGGATCAGGCATCCCAGAGTACCAGTCTCATGGCTCTCAGGGGAACATCAAGAGCACCTGGGAAGGATTGGGCCAGCTCTGGGTGGGGGAGACTCTCCTCTGGGTTTGGGTCAGCGAGAAATTGCTGTGGGGTTAAGGGGAAGAGAGAAACACCCCCTATACCCCCCCGTAGGACATTCCAGTGCCCCTCACCCCAGTGTCAGGGTTGGGGGGGCCTCCCCTCACTGCCCGGTGCCCCAGGGGACTTTCACCCATTCAGAGTGGACACAGGTGGCACCGGTGCCCCAACCGAGTGTGACAACACATCTCCCACTCCAGAGCATTGCGGGCCACATCCTTCCCCCCACCCAGGGACGGAGCTCAGAGCCCTGCGTGGGGGTACAGAAACAGGGCCACGAGGCTTTCCAGGGGGCTGCGTGAGGCGCTGAGGTTTTGGCAGGTGCCATTCCCGGGGAGGTCACAAACAGGAGGTAGAGGCCGGGCACAAAGCACGCGGAAAAGCCTTTAATGTCCCTCTCCAGTGCCCCAGCCCCGGGGGGCAGCTCTGGCCGTGCCCGCGTGGCAGTGGGCTCACGCCGTGGGGGCACCCGGGGATGCGTGGGGAGGCGGGGCGGTGCCGGGGGGCGGCGGGGAGGCGGCGGGGGCTCAGAGCCGGGCGGCCGGCTGGTCGTAGACGTGGTGGGTGTTGTACCGCCGCACCGACACCGCCTCCGGCTTGCTGAAGGTGCTGCTGCCGCCGCAGGCGTCTGAGCTGGGGAGGGAAGCGGGGGGGTGAGGGATGAGGGTGGGGACCACAGGATGACGGCATCACCCTCTGGCGCCGATCCCGCGTGCCCAGCACCTATCTCTGGGTTCCTAGGTGGGACTTGGTGGTGGCACTCACCCCCAGAAGACGAACATGGCCACCAGCCCGGCCAGGAGGATGGCGAAGAGGATGGAGAGGATGGTGGTGAGGGCGATCATGCCGGCGCTGTGCCCTCCGTCCGTCGTGGAGATGCTGTTGGATGACTTGGCTGGGGAGAGAGCGGGAGGGGAGGGAGCAGGATGCAGGGATGCAAAGCCCTGGGCGGCTCGGGGTGGGGGCACGTGGGTGACGGTGTGTCCGTGCGTGCCAACGCAATGTGCCATCACACAGTGCCACCGTACCCGAGTGAGACCCGCACCACTGCCCTGCCTCAGCTTCCCCATCTCACAGGGACCCTCGCCCCAAACCACTGCTCAGGATTCAGCTCCCTGGGACCACCCCACACCCCCCAGGACCACCCCATATCCCCCACCCGACAGCTGTGAGGTGAGCCCCCAGCAGCAATACCTGTCCTCAGCATGATGGGCTGTGACCAGCCTGTCTCAGCCACGGGCTCGGAGCCCTCCAGGGCAAGGAACTTCACCCTGAGATGGGAAGGAAAGTTGGCCATGGTCCCGTGAGCCGGGGGGGCTGCCGGGAGCCCCTGAGGGGGGCACGTCCCCAGGAGCAAACTCACAGGTAGGGCCCGGGGCCGGACAGGGGGCCATTGCAGGTGGGTCTCGCAGCATCCCCGCTGCAGCTGGTCTCGCTACCAACGCGCAGCACCGTGATATCCCCGGCGGGTTTGGGGCAGGGGTAGTTGGCGAGGGTGGCATTGAGGGTCATGTAGGCGGGGACGTTGTCAGGGAAGTTCTGGAACGCGCTCGCGGCAGTCCCCGGCGCAACGCTGTTGCTGAAGTTGGCTGCGGCTGCAGGGATGGGGATGGAGGGTGAGGAGGGAGCCGGGGGGCACAGGGCCCTGCCCTGGGCCGCCCCCACCTACTGCTTTCCAGAGCCACCACCAGCCAGATGTCGGCGTTGCTGTACTTGTCGAAGACGCAGCGGGGCTGATCCAGCACGAAGGTGGAGCCGGTCGTCAGCCCCTCCAGCACGGGGCTCTTGGTCAGGGACGGCGTGTACCCCACACGCTCCACTGCGGGGAGAAGCCAAGGGGGTGCGGCGGAGGGTGCAGAGGTCCCACTGCAGCCCCTGACCGGTGGCTCCGACCGGCTGTCGCGGTCCCAGAGGTTCGGGGTGGGGACGGGAGGGAGCTGAACCCTGTGATCTCAGCAGAAGGGCCCCTGCTTGCTTCCCACCCCCTGTTTTGGGCTCAGACGTGTATTTTGTGAAAAGAGGAATCAAAGACACCCCATGCTCCCACTCGGGGTGGGGGGAGACACCCTTGTGGGATCCCCAGAGGACCCAGGTCGTTGACACCAGGGACACTGAGAGTGGCACCCAGAACAGGGGGAGCATCAGCTGCCCTACCCCTCCAGGCTCAGGGGGGTCCTGGTGCCTGTGCACAGTGGACTCCTGCAATGCAAAGGGGGACCCCCAAAGGACCCCACACTGTGTCAGTCAGCTCAGGTCAGTGACACCAGGGACACTAGAGGTGGCACCCAGAATAGGACCCAGAATAAGGAGGGCATCAGCTGCCCTACACCTCCAGGCTCTGGGGTCCTGTGGTTCACAGAGGATCCCCGCAATGCCGAGGGGGGTCCCCAGCCCATCCCGATGGCGCCGTCGGACTCACCTGCACCGTGGGCTGCGGGCAGGAGCAGGAGGAGCAGCGGGAGCAGCGGGAGCATGGTGCGGACGCCTGGGTGCCGAGGGCGGGAGTGCGGGTAGTTGAGCTCCGCGTCCCCGTGGGACCCGCCTGTGGTCACACCAACCGCCCACATTCCTGCACGGGCCGCAGCCCCGCGGCAAACAGGTTGGGCTCGTTTCCCTGGGAGCATTTGTTATGTTTGAGCGCCCGCCGGCGAAGCGTGTTGGGAACCGCCGCGCTTGTGGCACGGGTGGGTGACAGCCCTCACCCGGGCAGTGGGGTGGAGAGGGACACCCCGGGGGGATGTGCCCCACAGACCCTATGGGTGCCAGTCTGTGCCCCCCACCCCGACATCAAGCGCCACCAAACTGAGACCCTGGGTTGTTCTGGAGGGAATTCGGTGCCCTCACTCTCACAGCTCCCACCATGCATGACCAAGGACCAAGAGGAGGCAGTCACAGATGTAAAGTCAGACTTTACTTGGCAGGACACTTTACTTCTAGTGGAAGGTGTCCCTGCCCGTGGCAGCGGGGTTGAAATGAGATGGTCTTTAAGGTCCCTTCCAACACGAACTGTTCCATGTTTCTATGGCAAGGAGCAGGGGGTTGGAGGGCAAAGCAGCCCAGCCCTGGGGGGCTACACCCACAGCCTGGGGGTGGGGGCTGTGGGAGGGCCGGGGGGATGTGATGGGTCCGGTAGGATTTGCGGGCAAAGGTGCTGGTCCCCAAATCCCGCTGGCACAGGGAGCCCCACACCTTGGCACTGCAGAGAGAGAAATGCAGAGGCATCAAGCAGAGTCCATGGGCCGTGCCAGCCCTCCCATGCTGATCATCCCCAAGGGGCACTTTCTCCTGCAAACTGTGGCAAACCTCCAATTTAAGAATAAAAAGGGTTTTTAAATCTTAAAACCATCCATTTCTTTGCTGATGGGGGCGAGTTCGGGGGGGTTCTCCTGGGGCCCCTGCAGACACATCCCCCCAAGCAGTCCCCGTACCCCAGGGCTCCGAGCACAGCAGTGGCCAGCACTGTCCCCAGGCTGGCCAGGAGGGAGGCGATGACCACCACGTCACTGCCACGGCGTGTGGGCACGGGGTCGATGGTGCTCGGGCTGAGGGCTGGAAAGAGGCCGGATGAGGGATATGGGGAGACACAGAGAGCAATGGAGAGGGATGGAGCATATGGAGGGCATCAGGGATCACTGCTCCCCCCTCTGGATTTTGGGGTGATGGCATAGGGCTTGTGCTGTGCCGCATGCCAGCATCCCAACAGGGCAGATGGGGGACCTACGGGGGGATGGCAGTGCCACCAGACAGGTGTGGGGACCCACGGGGGAATGGCAGTGCCACCGGTACCTCTGCGCAGGAGGATGGGGTCAGACCAGCGCGTCTCCGCTTTGGGGCCGCGGCAGCCCATGAGCAGGAACTTCACCCTGCGGTGGGTACGGGAGTGACACCGGGGGGGCGAGCACGCCCTGGGTGGGGAGTTACCCGAGCTGGGATTCGGGGGTTCTGGCCTTACCTGTAGGGCCCTGGGGAGGGCAGGGGCCCGTTGCAGGGGTCCTGCCTGCCCTGGTCCTTGCACGCCGTGTCACCCCCGACCCGCAGCGCGGCCCGGCTCGGGGCTGGGCAGGCGTACGCGGCCGCCGCCGTCTCCAGAGTCATGTAGGAGTGGGTGGTGGAGAGCTGCTTGTACGGGGGCACGTCAGCCCGGGATGGGGGGTTCCTGAAGGTGGCTGACGCTGCACGGCACAGATGGAGGGAGAGTGGCTGTGGTGAGGGTCCCCCACCCCCCCTGCCACGGGAAGATGTGTCGGGGCAGCGGGTGCTCACCGTTGGCAAAAGCCACCACCAGCCAAACAGTGTCCGAGGCGTTGGCGTGCCGGTCGAAGATGCAGCAGGGTCTCTCCAGTGCGAAGGTGGTGGCGGTGACCTTCCCCAGCAGTGCCACGGGGGGCACGCGGGGCACGTAGGGCAGCCGGGCTGGGGGAGTGGACGATGAGTGAGGGACCCCCTGCTCAGCTCCGCTCAGCAAGTGACTGACCCCGGCCCCAACCCGTGAGAGGGCCCACGAGTGCCGGTGTTGGCACAAGGGGAGCTCACGGGGTGCCAGCAGTGTCAGCAGCAGGGTGACAACACTGGTGTGGGGACCCCCCAGCCATGCCCAGCCCCATAACCCCCTCCCTGGCTCTTCAGACCCCCTCTGCCCTGTCCCCCAGGGAGTCACCCAGGCCCGCGGCTGTGCCCGTCCCGGCCAGCGCCAGCAGCACCCACGGCAGCTCCATGGCGTCCTCCCGCTGGGGCTGGATGTGCCTCTCTGCTCCGCTCACCCCGTCCCACTGCCGAGGGGACGAACTGCCCCCAGTGCCCCCGCAGCGGGGACCGCCCGTCCCGAGGAGCCGGACCCTCCCAGCCCCACATTCCTGCACCGGCTCTGCCGGCCCGGCAGGACCCCGCGGGCAGGGGGGAACAACTGAGCCACCCGGGTCACCCCTCGGTCCTGCAGGACCTCGAAGGCTGCGAGGGACCAGGGCACAAGCCTGTGATGTGAAAGGGGAAACTGAGGCACGGAGGAGGCACCGGAGCCTCCAGGATGGGTTGGCGGGAGTCACAGTCTGTGTTGGTGCTATGGGGACAGCTGGGCAAGAGGTCCCGCATCCCCTCTCACCCCACCTAGACCCAACTCCCTGCGGGTTCCCCGTGCCCACCGGGAGCCAGCGATGAGCCCGTGCCCGACTGGTTCGGGTGCAGCCAGCCCTGCCCCGCGGGCAGGGAAGCGCTCCAGAGCATCATACCCGAACCCACCCAAACCTCAGCGATGAGGCGAACGGTCCCACCCAGCACCGGGGGCACGGAAGCACCAAGCTCTGGGGCCACCCCCCGCTGACATTTCCCCATCCATCCTTCCCTCTTCCCAGGGAAAGGCTCCCCAAGCCCTCTGGATGGGGCCAGGGACAGCGCCCTGAAGCGGGAGCTGCCCCGCGGCTCGGGAGCCCCCCACCGCCACTCCCCACGCAAAGCGGTTGGAGTGCTCCTTCTCCCATGTTTGCCAAGGGCAGCGGCCGCCCACTCCTGCGTGGGAGGGGATTTCCTCCCCCTTCCCAAGGGGCCGGGACAACGCCTTCAGATTAAGTGGAAATGGGGCATTCAAAGATTACACCGTCCAGCTGCAGAGGGGAAAAACAGGCGCAGCTGCAGCTTCCATCCCTCCTCCCTCTGATCCCTGACTTACTCCCCGCTCCGACCCAGCAATACCTACCCCGGGGACCCTGCCAACCCTTCCCCCCCGCCCCCGACCCCTCCCTGGCACTCCCGGCGGGGCGAGGGGCAGAGTGGGTGACGCAGGGGGACAGTGAGTCACAGTTTCAGCTGCCGGTACCCAGCATAGCTGCGGGGTCACGGCTGGGCTAATAATAACCACCCTGCGGCAGATGAGGCACCACCGCGGGGGGCCGGGAGAGACCCCACCCTCCCCGGGGCTCCAGCCGGGGATGGAGCACACAAGTCTTGGTCAACCCATCCAGTAGCATAATAAGCACCTATTTCAGGTTCTGTCCTCCTTCTCTGTGCTCCAATGGGCACCACGGCATTATGGCTGTGCTTCCACTCCACTGCTTCAAAGCAGCTCCCTGCACAGCACTGTCTGAGCTCCTGGTTCTGCTCCTTTCCACCCCCTGGCTCCCCTGCCACAGGGACAGTCTCAGGCTCAGCACAGACAGGGCAAGGATTTTAGGAGATGCCTCATGTCCAAAGCTGTGACAGCCAGGGATGAGCTGCTGAGCCTGATCAGCTCACAGTCCAGTGCCCCAGCCCTGGACCAGCCCAGACGCAGCTGATTCACACCTTGGAGCAGCTGCTGGAGGTGCCTTGGGCAAGGCTCAGCAGGAAATTCTTGCTTTGTACAGGGCTGGGTGAACTCTGCTCAATTTTCGCTTCAATTCATTGTTTTGATTGCTGTGAGAACATGATCCAGGGATACAGAGATGGGGTTTGAACTCAAAACCTCTACCTTTCGCAACCAGGGTGGGAGAGGAATAGACACAGCCCGTTTGAGTAGAGCTCAGCACCACACAGACACAGAGCTACAGCTCCCAAGGAGCTGCCAGTCCTGCAGCATCCCCAAATTTCCCAAGCTGGTTGAGGGGTTTCCCCCTAGAGCCTGCAATCACAAGATGGACTTTAGGGAAAGCTCCTGCCCTGAAAAGGCTCTGAAAAACCTTTAATATTTATATTATAATGGCAGGAAGAAAGATGCCCAGTTGCTGGCCCAGGACATGCTGGTCCCAGGCAGTTGCCAAGGCAGAGCTGCCACAAAGCCCAGCCACATCCCAGATTTCCCAGGAAGGAGGTGAAATGGCAGACAGCACCAGTGCCAAAGGGATGGTTTCAATGTGCAGCTGGGTCCAGTGGCCACAGGGGGGGGAACAGCCAGAAACAAGCTCTTCAAAAGATATCAGCTCTGAGCCTGGGGACACTGTACTGCAAGGCCACCAGAACTGGGGCCATATCCCACTTGCAAGGTGCTAGGAGTACCAGGAGCGTGCTCCCAGCTGAAGAGCATCACTGCTGGCAGCTGGGCTGGCTGCCACCACCGCGGGAGGAAGGTGACTGTCACCAGCTGGTGGCACCAGCATCCCTGCAGCAGCAGCACAAAGCACAGCAGCCCCTCCCTGCAGAGGCTCCACCGTGCACAAACAGCCCCAAATTGCTGCCATTTCACCTGAGAGAAGGAGAAAAGAGGGACAAGGTCTGCCAGAAGGGTTGGTGAGGAGTGAGGCTGGCAGCTCATGGCAAGAGCAGGGGGCCGCAACTTTGTGCAGGGTGGGCAGTGATGGGTCACCTCTGCTGGCACCATGGCCACAGACCACCAGGATCCAGCAGCCAAAGCATCGACAGGCTGGAACCACAGCCCTGGTACCAGCACTCTGTGTCCTGCCTCCATCGAGATCCGTGTCCCTCCAGCTGAGCTGAGCTTCCCCTCCTTTGTCCTGGCTGGAATGAGGCTCCATGGATCAGGCTGGTCCCCTAGAAAGGGACACTAAGGGTGAGGTACCCCAAGCCCTGAGGCAGCAGGAAGGCAGAGGCAGGGA